CACATTAACTTCAAATTCCCCATTCCGTTAGTCCAATGATGGGGAGAGTCATCGCATCCGTAATTACTCGAAAGAAAACAATAGTGGCGAATGTATCAGCAACATACATTCTTCAGTCAAAACCCTTGGGCTCAATGGGTTGAAAAATGTTGGCAACACCTGCTTCATGAACAGTTACTGGAATATCTGAAAAAGGATAAGTACATGAAAGGAAGAAATATTAGTATTTCTAATATGGAGGGTGCTTTAATCAAAGCGTTCGCAGCAATCATCAAGGAATTTTAGTCAGAAAATTCATCTGATAGAGTAGTGAACAGTCAGATTTATTCTACCATCTGACCTGAAAGATCACTCGCCATATAAACTAATCAGCTTCGTCAAGAAGCTGGCTGTATTTGGCCGAGTTTGAATAGGTGTGAGCCACAATAAACCCTTGCGGGTTGCGCTAGAGGGAATAATAGGCCCGCTCACTTATGACCTAACCTAACCTAAGTACAAAATACTACATCATGAAATTTGTTATCATTCACTGCAAGGAGTAATAATAATTTTCAAACAAATTTTGTGAGTGATCATAGTGTTTTAAGTGTGTGGTTTGTGATTCATAGAAGATTGCCATACCTGGTGCTATAATTATATGAATTTCAATTAGTAAGGTTCAAAATATAGGTTGTATTTCACATAACAAATTCAATAATACAAATGAATGGTGTGGACAGGATTTTCTCCCAAATGAATAATGGTCTACAACTTGGTATTCATCACAAAAATCAGTACTTATGATGTACTGTTTGGAACCTTTGGTGTAGTAATGAATATTACTGGTTTTTTCCCAACACCAAATCGTTATTGTTAACACCTCGACATGTGTTTCGATCACCAAGTGAGTATACCTGTATGGTTTACCTGGATGATATATCTGTATAGCATAAATAGCTTTAGTTTCGCGAAGTTTCCTCTTGAAGATGATCACTTGGTGATCGAAACACGTGTCGAGGTGTTAGAAATAACGATTTGGTGTTTGGGAAAAAACTCCAGTAATATTCTTTACAAAAATCAGTCTTATGATTTGTTTCTGCAGAACAAAAATTCCGGAGACCGTTCTTGTTCTTTTCTACTTTATCATGTTCAACGAAGATATTCAATAAATTTACAGATATTTTGCAGTTTTCAAACATAATAAAATACAGAACAATCTCGATTATCTCAAAGGCGTTTGAAATTATCTTGTATAAGCACATTTACTTGTCAACACACAACCAAATAAGCGAATTTCAACAACAAATAGTTTATTACAATGGATACAAATCAAACACAATAATTGCTAGGTCTGGTGTATCCCAAGTATCGAACTTGGGACCGCTGTTATTTTTGATATCTATAATGATTTAAGGACACAAATTAATTTAATGAAGCTTTTTCTGATGATCTGAAAATACTGTAACGAATTAAAGAATTAACTGTTTTAAACACATTTATTTTAACAATACTTCACTATCACAACTAATTTATTTACACCACTCAGTAACTAACGCTTAATTTATCTTCACCGTTTGTTAACCGCTCGAATCGCTTTCTTGGTACAGACTCCTCTTCGGGACGAATAGCGACGTTTTTATATCGTCAACGAACGTTCCGGATCCCTCTGCGGATTTCGGGACCCATCCGGAGTTTTCGCGGTAAGCGTCATGCGTTGGCTGACAGGGACACCGGTCAGGGCCGGCTTCAGATTCATTACAATACTGAATTCATTCCAAAATGTGAATGATTGCATACAACACTTCATATATAGATAAGGTGTTTGGCTTGGTGTAAAATCAATAACCTACATCTGAATATAGGTAATGATTGCATATAACACTTCAGATATAGATAAGGTGTTTGGCTTGGTGTAAAATTAATAACCTACATCTGAATATAGGTAAATGTAAAGTTATGTCATATACTAGAAAACATAGACATATTGAACATCCATACGTATTCAAGGTAGTTTGCTTACCCGTTATGTGGAGACTAATGATTTAGGTGTATTCTTTGAATCCAAAATGGCATTTGCCAATCACATAAACAAAAAAGTTTCCGAAGGATTTATCGTACGAAATTGTCAAAACTTCAAATAGTGAAAATATCATTTCGATGTGACAAATAGATTTAAAGAATTTTAGAAAAACATATCTGTTATCCTTGATTTCCTTCTTTTTTAGTATTTTGAGCATCTAGAATAGAATCAGAATATTCTGTAACAAATGCAACACCAATTATAATCAAAGCTGGCTCATTTTTCAAAGTTCTATGGGAGTTTGGAAATTACCAGTTCACTGCTCCCTCCTCTAGGTTATTAGATTTTGGATAATACTTTCTGTCAGTGGTTCAGACTCAGTTTTGTTACTTAGCGAAGTGCAGTTCCAGTCGCCCGGCTATCACTTTCCTAATATTTCAATTGTGATAGATAGATAGATAGATAGATTTATTAAAGTTTTCAATTTAAACAATTGATAAAACTCAAGTCATAAAAGTGATTACATTAACATTACAAATGTCACTTAATATTAATATAAATAAAAGCAAGTGGTATAGGTAAATACAATAAGTATATAAAAATGACAGGAACAAATAAGTAAATATCACAGATGAAAAGTGACGTCTCAACACTCGAATTGCATAACACTTATTTGCTAGTTTTTTGACAAGATAGTCCATGATATGGACATAAGTTCAGGTCATGCTGAGAAGTACCCCATGAGTAATGTTAAATTATTAATTTTCTAATTCATAATGGGAAATAGTCCTAGGATGGGAAGTACTTTGAATTTTAGAACCAACCATTTGTATAGCATTCAGTGACCAACCTGATGTAGAAGAAGTGCCATTGAAAACAACTCTGAGCTTGGTCGTTGTACTTTGTTCTTTCACAACACCATGATGGCACAGAAAGCATTCATTGATGTAAGATAATTCTTCCTGAACTGTAGACCGAAGTCAATGTATTCTTCCATAAATTTTGTGTATAAATCATGGAGGAAGTTGTTCTTCAGCAATCTGGATTCTAAATTGAGGAAACGTCTTCTAGCCTTCTTTCTAGACTCCCCTAATTTGTCAATAGATTCCTTTAGCAGAATGTGGACAATTAATCAGCCACTGGGGTCTGGAGAATGAGTAGAAATCAACAATTCTCACAAGTTCTCTCTTCTTCTGAGAGTGCTCGTTCCGAAGAAAAATCCTCTATTTCCCAAAAACGCGCTAGTTGATCTTGTATTTCAGAATTTTGAGAAAAATTACATTGCGCTGAATTATGAACACCTTTGGTACCTAACCAAAAACGCCAAGATGTATTTGTCCAACTAATAGAACTTGCCAAAATATTTCAGATCTAATGAGTAATTGAACTGGGCTACTGGGTTAGATGTGCTGAAATACTGGGAACGACCCAATAAGATAGAGATGATGGAAATGCATTTTGCTTATAACGTACTTTTACATTTACCTTGAATTTAATCACTGTTGTGAATCAAGTTATTCCAGTGACTGTCATATTAATTTCTGCCTTTCGTAGCCCCAGGAAACCGGCAGTAAGGCGATATGAAGTTCAAATGGCTTCCTGAATCTCGAAGAGCACGGCATGTATCAGGATTCTCTTTTGACTCGAGAATCGTCGACTGAAATGTTGAAGAAGTACTTGATTCCTGGAGGACACAACGCTGGAAAACGATTGCTGAGTAAACAACTTTTGAGGTGCTCATGATGTAGAGACAATTGAATTATCTGTATGAAACAAGGAATTATGTTTTGAAGAGCAGCTCCTAAAGACTCCAAACTTACAACTATCCGTCTGATGACCACTGTTCAAACAGTTAATGCAAAGTTTCAATCTCTGTACTGTCTGTACTGGGCTACGGTCTACTGGTCTACGGACATTTAAAAAAACTTTGGTCAAGCATAAATCTTGTGAAATTTTTCACAAATAGTGCGAATTGAAGATGGTTTTTCTTGTTGCTGTTCTCTAAATTTAATTTTATTGAATTTTAATTCATTTGAAATTTGAGTGAATTTAAGTTCCATTTTTCGTAAAACGCTCGATTTTTTTTTGAAAGGTTAACAAACCCCTTCAATTTGGGAACTTCATCGATATTGTTCGTAAATTTAGTGGATTCCCATTCATGCCCAGTCATTTTGTCGAGTTTGTTAACAATCAGAAAAATCAAAATCGTATCCAGGTATCTTCAGTGATCGTGGACTTTTTGCAATATTATCTACTTGGAAATATAATTTTCAATCATAGAAAGTAGAGGTTGATATAAATATTTGGTATAAACTGTTCACAACTGAATTCTATCATACATGCTTTCCCTCTTTTACAGCTCCTACAAAAATGCGGAATGTTTATCATTTGATTTCATCCCATCTCTTTAGGCATTGAGCATGGGTATGACGTTTGGCTATTTCCGCAATTGTCGAAGTCATCAGGCTGTAGGTGCCACTGGGTGCTAAAATTCTTAGTTCAGCTGCTTCCTTGGCTGTCGTGCCCTTTAATCCACCTCATGATAATGTTATTATCTACCGCTTTAGCTTTGGCTAAATCTTGGTGGCCCTCAAGTACTAGCCCTGAGGTAACATGTTAGTTCAAGGCTACTAGGGATTGTCTGCTATCAGTGTGGATTATGTTTTTGCCAGAAATTCCTTTCCAGGTTATTTATTTTGTGGCGATTGAGATACTAGCCAGTTCTGTTTGAACCATCTGGTATTTTTTCCCATTCCCCACTTAATCCTTATGCTTAATACACCACATCCTGAGCCTTCTTTGGTTTTTGAGCCATCTGTATATATGCGTATTGCATTTGTAGAATCTGACTCTGTGTTCTGTTTTATTTGTATTCTATAGGGTTTATTAAACACAAACCTGGGATCAATTGCATCACTGGTTGCCTGCAGCAGAGGTTGCGCAGTAAGCGCTTCTCGCCATAGGCTCAGCCTCAATTGACCCATCCCTACTTCGAGGTTTACACCAGCCGTGTGCAATGGCCATTAACGCAACCTCCTTAACGTACAGGTCCAGAGGGGTCAGACCAGTTTGGTGTAAACATTTCACCACTGAATTCTATTATATTTCCCTTTTTAACAGCACCTACAAAAATATGGAATGTTTGGAAGATATGCAAGACCAATCATAATTCAAGTTGGAAGTTACACAATTGAAGGGATATCTGGATATTTCTACTTGGAAATCTAATTTTCAATTATAGAAAGTTGGGGTTGGTATAAATGATTGTGTAAAGTAAAAAATATGTCTGGGTAATATTTTGTGTAGTAAAATGTAGTAACTCCTGTTTATATTTCAATGATGTTAATGTTATGAGAAATTCTAATTTTAAACTTGTTAAAATAAAAAACTTACCAGTAGTAGTGAATCCAAAATCAACCATATTGGGGCTTTATGGTGCTCAGTATGTTTATGCAGAAAAAATCAGATTCAATAACACAGCTTCTTCATATTACACTTGTCAATCAGATACCCTTGTTGACATAACTCGTCGAATTTGATCATGTGACCAGAGAATATATTTGAATCTTGATACAATACACGTCTCTAATTATTTTCTAGGAGATTAGAAAACTAATAGATACCATATATTCTTTTATTATTGCAATACTGTAAACATTGTAGCCTAAGTGAGATTACAGGTTACCTGTTACAGGTTTATTATTAGTCTTTCATCTAAGGAGATCTTTATTGACTTGGATAGAATAAACTGATGGTGGCCTTATCAAGCTAGCAGTTTTGGTTGGATAATGATTCATATCAGATTGTTTTGTATAATTCTTGACAATCTCAGGAATAAATAGTGTTCTATGAATATACAGAGTTCAACTACCTTACAAAGTTATGACTTTATTTGTGGGGGATTCCTATGAAAGAAGATCATATAAATGCACGTCCTAAATCGCTTCGTTTCTGAAATAGCAAGGTGTTAAAGTTGTAGTAAAAAATTAATTAGAAGATATTATGTCGATTGTGATAAAATTTGAGTCGTTTGATAGCAATATATACAGGGCTCCTTTCGTGGTGTCACAGAGGGTTGCCTGATTGATATATATGCTGAAAATCATTGTTTACTGCTACTTGGGTATCATCTTCGGATTGAACAATAATTGAAATTATAACTTCTTTGTGTCCTGAGTATTCTGTATTGTATTTAGTTTTTGAGGAAAAAATTAAAAGTGATTCTTTGCACACCTGTGAGCGATGAAACAATGATCTATAAATGTCCTAACTCTTTCAAATTCGGCCTAAAGCTGAAGTTAACCCTCTCGACTCTCCTAAATTTTTTAAGTTTATACAAAAAACACTCGTGTTGCTTTGCAATGTGGTAACCAAAGATTTTTACCATGAATATCAATCAGATAACCTTCTGATATGACAAATGTAATTATTATTTCAAATCTAATGACATCAAAAGGAGACCTTCATTACAGTTTTCAAAAATAACAATACAGTGAAAAAGTGAATTGTGTCAGAACTCGAAATAACGATATCTGGTTTGATATATCTATAAATAATTTTACATTTATAGAAATAAGATTTCCAATTTTTGCTCATAATGATGCTGTCATTGTAAGAACAAGTTTTTTACAGTAGCAGTATCATTGTTTGTGGCTACACTGTTGATTCGAATAAACTTAAAAAATTTAGTAGTGATATTTGACATTTTCAAGCGTTGAGAACTAGTTAAACAGTTTCAACTTTAGTTTTGCTTCCCTTTTTCACAATGCAATGAATAAAAGCATTATAATTTTTCTTTTATATAAAAGCTTAGTTGTTTTCAGAGAATTATTTAATGCTATTTTGCTTCCCTTTTTCACAATGCAATGAATAAAAGCATTATAATTTTTCTTTTATATAAAAGCTTAGTTGTTTTCAGATAATTATTTAATGCTATTTTGATCTTGCCACTATTGAAACTTTTCTTATGCTGCCTTAGACCTATATTTGGATGTTGCTGGCAAAATATGTAGCGAAAAATTTTTGTTTTTTTTTAATTTCGCACTTTACTTTCATGTCTATTTCTACACAAAAAATACGGTATATGAAGAAAATATCAAGTAGGTCACAGTTTCCGCAGTCTGAACAGTGAAAAAATTATCACGGTTGTATGAAATTACGGCCTTCTTTTCTTATGTTTATTGGTGTTTTCACAGCGTTCGTAGAAAAATTTATAAAATTTTTGAGAACAACTTCACTTTCTGTTGATTCGTTTTTCTTTTTTTCAGGTCACCAATTGTATTAGTGATTGCAGTATTTTACCACCGTTGAGATGGGAATGCCTCTGTTGCACTCATTCATCATCCAAAAAGCTGAAAAATGTAATTGAAATTTACATTTTATCACTATGTATAATGATCTTGGCGGATTCTGGAAGTCACCTAATATATCAAATCAATGGTCTATCATAAACGTTTCTATGACAAATTTATAAAACACTTTTATTGCCTACAACTGTATTGTGTTCACCGATCATTAGCATTTTGGAAGTAATTATAAAATGCTAATAAAATAAAACTGTTGCAACACCATGGAATTATAAAACAATTTTGCTGGTTGGGCTGTCATTAGGTACTTTATGTCTCGAATACGATTATAACTGTAATTGATCTTCGAGTGTTAATATTGTAATTAAATTTATACTTGTTTACTTTTGTTATAACTATGAATGAAATCATTGGAATCAAATATGAATTTTATTCAAACACGGTTATAAAAAAATTACAATCAAATCAATATTGATGAAAAGCAAGGTTTTTTGAGTCGTAACTGTCTTATTGCTGAGGAGAGCTATTTTTAAATAGTGATAACAATAATATTAAAACTAATAATCAAAAGGAAAATTAAAAGAATGGAACTGGCCGATATTTGATGAAAATCAATATTAAAACTAATAAATATAGTTTATTGTATGATTTTCACTATAATTGGTTTTACAAAAACCGTTACACGTGTTTCGCTATACAATAGCTTTCTCATGCTTGAGAAACTTGTGTCGTGGTTTTTGTAAAACCCTTTATAGTGAAAATCATATAATAAACTATTTATTTGTTTCAATATGGATTTTCATCAAGTATCGGCCAGTTCTATTCAACAATAATATTGTTTATTGGGTAAGTGAGTGCAATATGTACCTGAAGCAAGTTGAAAGTACAAAAAATAAAAGATTAAATATAATGAAATTATGGGTATTGTGAACATTTATCACATGTTGAATACAATGAAATTGAATTAAAATGCTACAATCAGTACAAAACACCTTCTCTCTCTGGTGCAAGTGTTTTCAGTTGCAGACCCAGGACAGAGGAATCAACCTGCCTAGGGACCTATGGACTGTATTCCAAGCGAAAATCTATGCTATTGAATTGTGTGTGGAAAGATTGGTACAATCGAACCTCACAAGTTTATAAAAATGTTCTCAGACAGTCAAGCAGCGTTGGAAACTCTTGGCTCCTACCGAGCAACGTCTAAGCTGGTAACAAATTGTCAAAAACGACTCTCGTCATTAGTAAGGCTTAATAAATTGTCTCTGGTCTGAATTCCTGGCTCCAATGGCCTGAAAGGCAATGAGGCTGATGACTCCCTTGCAAAGGAGGGTGCTACAAGTAGCTTCATTGGACCAGAACCTGTCATTGGAATTACTTTAGGTTTTGCCAAACAAACATCGAACACTTGGATGGCAAGAAGATTTAAAGACTTCTGGCAAAATCTTACAGGATCGGCTTTCTCCAAGGTGTTCATTCACCCTTCGAAGCTTGAAACCAAACAGTTGTTGGACTACAGTAAGGATGAACTACGATGTCTAACAGGCCTCCTTACAGGTCACTGTCCTCTGAATCATCATATGCAGAGACTCGGACTGTTTTCAAGTTTTCAGAGTTTGGTAGAACCACAATTCTACCATCTGACCTGAAAGATCACTCGCCATATAAACTAATCAGCTTCGTCAAGAAGCTGGCTGTATTTGGCCGAGTTTGAATAGGTGTGAGCCACAATAAACCCTTGCGGGTTGCGCTAGAGGGAATAATAGGCCCGCTCACTTATGACCTAACCTAACCTAAGTACAAAATACTACATCATGAAATTTGTTATCATTCACTGCAAGGAGTAATAATAATTTTCAAACAAATTTTGTGAGTGATCATAGTGTTTTAAGTGTGTGGTTTGTGATTCATAGAAGATTGCCATACCTGGTGCTATAATTATATGAATTTCAATTAGTAAGGTTCAAAATATAGGTTGTATTTCACATAACAAATTCAATAATACAAATGAATGGTGTGGACAGGATTTTCTCCCAAATGAATAATGGTCTACAACTTGGTATTCATAAAAAAATTAATGTGTTTCAATAACCTTTCTGCTTAAACTACTGCAATTATACTATCAGTTTTCTTTCTTTTGTTTTCTATTTAAAGTTATCATTGTCATGTTACATACATATTTATATCATGTCAAGATTGAACATGATTTGTTAATTTGTTATTTTATCTACTACTTATCAGTACTGATGTATTCAATCATGTCATGTAATTGGGTGTTACCTGTTGGGCAATAAATTATATTATTATTGATAGCCTCTGAATATCACTTCAGGGAGGCAGAGAAAAGTATTTACCCAATATTACGGTATGTCTGCTCTAAGAGTCAGTTTCCAAATTATTAGAGGTTCTTGGGTTTTAGCAGGGGTCTGGAAGATTTTTAGTCTGGCATTTTGTCTGCAATTACGGTACATCTTGCATAGCTGCCGCAGTTGCAGACGAAACAGTAGGCTCATAAACCTGCAGACGACTGGCAAACCTTAAAACAACAGCCAGTAATTTTTTCTATGCATGAATCTATGAATGTTTGAATTAAAAAAAAATGAATAGATTTCTGTAGGCTTTTTCTTCCAGTTCGTGCCTGAAAGTTTTTTCTTTGCATGATCTACACATCTATGTAGTTGCATTACGTAAATATGCACCATTTTAACTTTCGAGAGCATATCCAAATGATAATAATATTATTGGATAATAATGTAAGATGTTACAGAAAAGCTGGTGAGGAATTCAACAGGAAAAATCCAAATCGTAGAGCCATTTCACATACGACGGCATCTACAGTATATGAGCCTTTCAGAAAAACTGGTTCTGAGAAATAAAGGTGGGCCAAATAGAAAAACTAAAAAAAAATTAATAATGAGATATTGACTGCATTTGACGACAATCCACAATGCAGTATAAGGAAAGGAATTCATCCGGCGATTTGAATTTGGATGAAAGCAGAATATAGCGTTGTTTGATAAAACATCGATTGAAACCATATAAGACAACGTTTTTACATACCTACTCTTGAAGCTGGTGATAAAGAAAAAAAAAACTAGATTACGGCTATTGGTTGTAAGGTGAATTTTGAATTATAGACATTTTTTTTAACGTTTTATTCAGTGATGGGAGCACATTCACAACAAACGGTGTAGTTTCAACAAAAAATGTGAAACATTGGGCTTAAGGAAATCCACATTTCAGTATATACTCCAAGAGGCAATATTCTCATAAAGAGAATGTTTGGTGTAGTATACTGCGAAACAGAATGATTTGACTTTTCTTTTTACTAAATTTCAATTTAGAAAGATTTGTTGCCCTTCACTGTAAGGCGAAATTTATATCTGCAATTGGATGGAACTTCAATGCATAATTCGGGAAAGGTGGATTGGAAGAAATAGTCCTACAGTTTGGTGGCGACGAAGATAACCTGATTTGACTCTCTGCGATTTTTATTTACCTACGCACTAATCGACGTGCCAAGAATTAACTCTCATTGAAAGTCTGAAAATATAAAGGAATCTAAAAAAATAGTTGAAGAATATATTTTTGTGAATGGACGGCATGTTGAGTGAGGCAAACTAACACCAAAACAAATAACTCTCTTTCTTTTTATGTCAACAGTGAGCAATAGTCGTTTGTATACTGAATGAAATGTATTTTCGTTATTACTATTTCTATGGTAGTTTTTTTTTCAATTGTGAGAATATTCATCGAAGAAAAATGTTGCCTCATAAGCCAACAGGTCAACATTATGCAACACTCAATGAATTTCTAAACAAATTGTTCGAATAGAACTTTCTGATAACGCATTTTTTTTCAAAATCGTTTGAAATTTTGATTCAATAAGCTATGATTTCTTCAAAAGAGATACAGTTATTGATAGGAAAGTATGACTTTGAAAAAATACAGTTTTCGAATACGACTATAACAAAAAATATACAGTGGTGATCGGAGTTGAAGTGATACATCCTGTTTATTATTTCAGATTTGGATAGAGAGGAACTTTCATACCTACACATCTGTGTAAGAGTTTTCATTGCTAATTCTATTTTTTGTGGGCCAAATTGTATGTTTATACATTGTGTCTCAAAGTTATTATTTGAAAACGGGTTATTGTGAATCCAAAATTAAATAGAGTGAGAATTTTCTTTTCTTTCAATGGAAAAATGATATTTATTTATATATTACACTGAATTTGAGAACATTTGTCGGCTAAATCTGGGATAGAAATAAAAAAAAACAAGTTATTAAAGTGAACATTTTATTAATATCTAACAAAAGTTTTTGTCCTTGACAATCATAACTGAAATTGATATTGTCTGAATGTGGATGTAAAAATATTTTCTACATGACTTACAATATTTACAAGCATACAATAAGTTACAATGAAGGAATTTTTTGAAATTTTCCGAGTCATATCGAAAAAAAAAATGAAATCTTTGAAAATGTTTATAACACAGTGGAATTGAAAATAAATGTTTACAAAAAATTCCTAGCTTTAGAAGATGTTCCGTATGAGTCGAGTGATAAGTCATAGCGAGCTAAGGAGCCTAATTGAGTAGGTGCGCATCTTATACTATTACCTAAAGGGGCTAGTTGTGAAATTGGCCCTGTCCAGTAATATTTCTCACAAGACCATTTGCTGAATACATAAACTTTCAAGGAATTAGTTGTAAAATTGTATTTTTCTATTTTTTAATAACACACTATGAAACTTTATCTGGACTTTTCTTGAAGACAGAGCATTGTAATTAAAATGTTCGAGTGTGTAATTGATGTGATAATACCGATCATTCATCAGCATGTAGGGTTAGGATGTTTCGTAAGAAGGTACATTTCATTGATGTTTTTTAGAATGAAAGGCTAAGAAAAGGGCATATTCTCTCAGTTTTGGTTCTTGCCTGTTAATATTATGAAAAGTAGAGGTGATTTATCTTTCAATTTGATTTTGTGATCACGTAAGATCGTTTAATTTTACTCGACAATGAACTGAATCAGTAAAGTTACTTGTGAAATAACTCCCAACAGTATTTCAATACTGATTTCAAAAATATATTACCACTTTAGTTATTTATTTTCACTAGATAGACAGAAGTC